TCTATCTATCTATCTATCTATCTATCTATCTATCCATCTCTCAGTGTCTCTCTCCCTCCCTTTCTGCCGAGCTCCGGCTATGGCGGCCTCTTCCTTCTTCCAACTTGCTGCTGCAGCTCTGCCGCCGTGGACAACGGGTACCAGCTCCGATACCAATGCAATCAGACGCGACTCTGGACTTGCTCACAACATGCATACACGAGAACTGATGGCAAAACCAAACTCGTCAACTCAGAATCAACAACGAACTTGCAATTAAACTACTGTTCAATACAACTGTACAACTCGCGGCTATGGCCGCTGAACACTGTCTCAACCACCAGCCTCACTCTCCCTCACGCACGCACGTACGAGGATCACCCTGAATGTCCACGCTACACAGCTACACACACTCTGTACACTCCGTCTACACCAACAGCTGGGCGGCTATGGCCGCCGCCGTCTTCCTCCTCCGAGCTATGGCCGCCGGTGTATTCGTCGCTGGTTCGCTATGGCCGCTGTCTTCTTCACTGCCCACTTCTTCTCCAGGCACCTGCAGTCCACGCACAAGATACCAAGGCGGCTCTTCCGCATGGCACACAGGCGAATGAATGAATGGCTGGACGCTGCCTCTTTATTTATACCTCTTCGGAGGTACCCGGGCCTGCCTCAAATCGTGTGGGCCTGGGCCAAAACGTGTGGCCCAGGGAAGCTTCCAGACGTTTGCCTTCTGGGCCAAAACGTGTGGAACCCACAGCGTAGTCCAGAACCTTCCCCACGTGCCGCCCCTACCCCTGGTACTTCCTGACTGGACTGGCCTGCAGGGACCTACGACATTCTAGAGCCTACAGACTTACAGACAGACTCTAGGCCTCAGTAGACTCTCAGATAGAGACTTCTAGAACAGACCTTCCTAAGCCTAACGGTAATAGACCTAACTCCTAATCTACAGACCTGGGGATCGAGTCTCACACAGATCGCTGGGCCTATGTACAGGGTACAGGGTAGGTCTAGGGATCGAATCTCACTCAGCACACAGGGTCAATGTACAGGGTAAGGGCACAGGTCTGGGGGTCGAATCTCTGTGTCTGCAATGCCGGGTCAACTGGGTGAAACCGTTTCACGAACAACCCCCCCCCCCCTGTCCCCCCCAACTTAACTTTTTTATTGCAGATTCGGGCTTCCCTAGGGTAGCGCAGCACAACCCCGCCTTCAAAATAAAAAATAAAAAATTCCTTGCTGTGTTTTTGCATCGCCCGGTTTTGCCGGGCAGACCCCCCCGGGCCCAACCGGCCGGGCACTCCCGGCCGGGCGGCGGCCCAGCCTTAGCTTCTTTCAATTTTTTTTATTTTTTATTTTGAATGTAAAGGCCCTTGTGCAAGACCTCTATCCCAGCGGTGATAAAACTTAAACTTGGAAAATTCAAAATTGCGAATTTTGAAATTTCACATTTCATGTGTTCCCCTTTTTGCAGATGAAGCAGAAAAATTGGCGACGAGCTGGGAAAGGACCGGAGGTACTGTGTGTTGGATTGGACTAGATCAACGGCTCATCGGGATGGCAAGTGTTTGCGATTATCCCAGAGCGGAAGCGGCAGAGGCCATACGGAACCTTCAAGTGAGATTCTGCTCCTCCGTTTTGTTTTTGATTTTTTTCCAAACCAACAGGCACCTATATATTCATGTTTATGAACAACACGTGCTGGGAAATGGGCCAGCATCCGATAAGTACTTCTGTGTGATCCAGGACTTATTTTTGGAAGTGCTCTTCTTGCGCCGAATTTTGTGCCCATCTCTCTCTCTCTCTCTCTCTCTCTCTCTCTCTCTCTCTCTCTCTCTCTCTCTCTCTCTCTCTCTCTCTCTCTCTCTCTCTCTCTCTCTCTCTCTCTCTCTCTCTCTCTCTCTCTCTCTCTCTCTCTCTCTCGCGCGCGCGCGCGCATGCGTGGATGCTTTTGTTGTCTCGTTGACATGAGCTTCATACCTGACGAGCTGTACAGCCCGAGAAGGTGATGCTCGTTCCACTTTCCTTTCCTTTATAGCATTCCTCTTTGACTACGGTATGCCACATGTGGGAACAACAACCACCCGAATCTTGTCTACCGTAGATTGACCATAGGGTACAGGGTCAGCATCCATTTACAAAGGTGGAGGAAAAGCAGGGGTCTATACAGTGAGGGGGATGAGCAGGGCAGGCAACAAAGTCGTTTGGACTCAACGAACAGGGACACCTGGAGCGGGAGCCACAACAACCCTGACTCCCCTTACCTCAGACTGGTCACAGAAGCAATGGGCCATGCTGCTAGCTTGACGGTAGAAGTAAAACAGGGGGGGATAATGGGAGAGGACTCAGCAGGACAGGCAATGAAGTTTAACGCTCACAGATTTCTTCATTCCTGAACCACAGGACGAGGCGAGAGCGATAATGGAAATCCTGGCCCCCGCCCTCCCCCCTCCATTTGGACAAAAATAGCGTTCATGTTTGTGATGGATTTCGCTTTTCAAAACTGCGAAAACATCAGTCAAAACTAGTGCAACGAAGCATTTTACTACTGGTGGAGGCGAGCCAACCTTCCCGTCCACCCAACCACCATCCACACTCTGGTCCCCATGTGGGAGCCACAGTATGACCGCCCCTCCCCCCAACTACACCAATCATCCACCCTGCAGCCACCTCTATCCCTCTTCCAGTCATCTGCCACCCTCCCAGCTCTACCTATGCAGAATCAGGACACCCTTCAGATCCCAACTCCACCACCCCCCTTCTCGCCCTACTGTCGCCGTACACAGAGTAATGCCTATACAAACACAAATAATACAGCCCCTGGTCAAACCAAGCTTCCGTGAACCCCTAACGATATTCCCTTGCTGGTCGGTCGTGTGAGGAGTGCCTGCCTGCCTGCCTGCAAGGTTAGAGGATAAAATGTAGGGTCTGGGTATTCATGGGACGGTCTGGATATTCAACGGACGGAAAGATGGGTAATAGGTGAGCAAGGAAAGGGTTGCATATGACAAAGCAATGAGAGTGGACAGCAACAAAAACTCCGGCTTCTTGTTATTATAGGCTAAGAAGGGACGCTGGGCCCGGTCCCCTTATTAGGGGTTGGTCCCCACCAATAGGAAGGATCTATCCACAAAGGATACCACTCTGTGACTGAAGAGTGCTTGTATCACCTTCAATACGAGGCGCTCAGAGGATGTTTCTTTCGGACAAGCAACACGGAAAACAACAAAAAAGGAGCAAGTAAGACAGACGGTTGAGCAGCAGTGATTGCCCTAGGCAACAGCCAGGGGACAGACTGCTCTCATCCTGCTACGTTCTGTGGGTGGCTAGAGGTGGGTTTCCTTTGGCGAGGAGGACCAGTCACAGTTACAGTGTGCCCAGTTTTCAGGAAAGACGGAGACTGTTGCGGGATGCAGTAGAGATTTTCATTCTCAGGAGGCTGGGACATCATCGCACAGTGCGACCAGCATTGCCCACTCACACACTGTGAATGGCAAATCAAATATGTGACAGTGGGCATTGCCTACTCTCACAGGTCTCTCAAATCCTGTCTTAAACCACCAGTACATGGGCACCTGGGCCGCAGGTCTGACACCTCAAATTCTGGAGGCGCGAAACGAAAATTGGGCCGCCGATCAAATTTATCAACGGCGGGCCCAGCGTTTGACGTTTCGGCCTCGTTATCTTGTGGCGACAAGTTTTGGACTGCAAGGCTGGGCCGTGTACTAGCGGTTTAAGCATCAAGAAGAAACAAATAGTGGGCTTGTGGGTACCTCAGAGTGTGGAGGTGCCCACTATTTTTTTTTATTTTTTTTTTTTAATAGAAAAGTACACCTGTCTTCTCCTCATATGGGGGACAGTTGTACTTTTAACTTCTTATCTCTCACTAGCTACCCATATCTATGTCCTACCCACAAGCCCTACAAGACAGATAATAGATCACCTCTAATTCAGGAAGAGCAGCTACTACCCCAGACCGCAAGGGGTTCAAGAGCCTATTCGCACATCAAGGGAACCCGGATCGAAGACTAGAGTCCACAGCTAGCATCTAGGGCTAGGGTCGAAAGTGACCTTGAATTTACAAAACAGAACTAAGCTATCCTAAGGTTATGGGCCTACATCTACCTATCTCTGCTGTCATCTACCTATTTCTGCTGTGTGTGGGGAGCAGTACCCAAGCTCCTAACACCTGGCGCAGGGCTGGAAAGAATTTCTTCCACAACCAGCCAGGAGGCCCAAGCCAACAATCTCCGCTGGTGAACCCAAGGCATCCCCCAGGAGACTGTGGGGATCGAAAGGACAATGTTGGGTATCGAACCCACGACCTCCTGAGTGCCACTTACGTGCCTCAACCAACTGAGCTAGCCCGTGCCCACTAAATATATACTGGGCCGTCGCCCGGCCAGGCATGCCCGGGCCAGCTGGGCTGGGGGGGATCGCCCGGCAAAACCAGGCGGGTCAAAAAAGAGGGAAGGATCTCCAAAAAAAAGAAACTGACTTCAGGCCAGGACTGCGCTCGGCCTGGGCAGTCAGAATCCGGCCTTACCTTCCATTCTGGTGGTGGGTCACCCAGGAGTGTTTGGGGGGTATAAAGTTACTCCAAACAGTGACTAGAAGGGCTTAAAGTTACTCTAAACAGTGACTAGAGGGGTTTAAAAGGGTATATCAGATATCTTACCTCATTTCTCCTCATTTACTTTTATCCTAAAATTAATAAGGAATTTCGAGGGGGCCCTCAGCCAAAAGTTGCTTGTGGCTGCAGTTTTATACAACATATGTTCTTTCCAGATTTTTTTTATTTTTTTATTTTTTTTTATTTTTTTTAATATGATGCGCTGGGGCTGCCAGGGACCCTGCCCGGCCACTGCCTGGCCCGGGCCGCCCGGGAGGGTACCCAGGCGACCTTCCCCCAGCCGGGCCGCCTGGGGACCAGCCTAGTATTGCAGTATGGTTTATTGCGGGAGAGCAGGCTGTGTACATTTGATTGGCGCTGGGAAATGTGTTTGATGGGCGGTGCTCAAAGTGTGACTGACCTGACCCATAATTTTTTGCCGGTGGAGTAATGGAGAAAGCTACAAGAGTGAGTATGCCCTCTTCTCCAAACCTGGTGATGAACGGCTGAGAACAAACTCACGAAATGCACCTGGAGTCTGGGCCCTCTGGGGCCCTTTTGTGATAACTTATTACCAGCCTGTTTTGGGACTGGGTAGAGTTCCGTGCCCTAAGCACTGGCATATAGTTTTGCGGCAGCTTACTACCCGTGCACTCACCCTATCTTACCCTAACCTTGGTGTCCCAGTGATTGACAATGTCTCCATTTCCATCAGGCTGATACAACCGTCTTCACCCGAATAGAACGCCGGGTCATTATAGCCATATCTGGTACAATTTCCAGTCAAGATAGAGCTATAATGACCGGGCGTTCTATTCGGGTGAAGACGGTAGCAAAGTAGCGCTCCCAAGCCCTGTCAAGCCCTGCGGTCCCCAAGTCCTCAGGCATCTGTGATGGGTCAGCACATTCTCCGGAACGGACTGGGGGTGTTCACACTGAACAGAGAGAGACTTGCAGAGTTCTCAGATCTCCTTCAAAGACTAAGTATCCAGCAGGGACCTTGAGGATGTCTTATGAGGTTCAGGACAGACAATCCAGGTACTCTTCTCGCTCCGGACCTGGCCCACCCTTTGTTTTCCCTTTCCTTTGAGAGTGCTGCACATGCCGGACTTTCCTGATGCGGCACCCAATGCCCCTCTATGAAGCCCAGGACACATGCCTATCCAGGGACTCCACTGTGTGGCCCTTTTTTTTTGTTTTTTTTTAGCAAAATCTACCCGCGACAACAGATAGAAGTGATGGTAAGAGCATGCACATGTACCGGTCATGCAGGGGGGGGCTCCAGTCTATTGGTGGGGAGCTACACCTGCTGGAAAGCGGGTCCAGCGTCCCCTGAGATACAATGATGAGATGATGAAACAGCACGTGCTGGGAACCGGGCCCATTCCCCTGTATGTGCTGGAGTCCCTTGATAGGCATGCGTTCCGCGCTCCATCCATCGTGCAGATTCCTGGCGGTCTTCTGCAGTGACCAAGCCAAAAAGTCCAAGCAGACTGTCCTTATCCCCCAGGAAGGTCTAGTGGAAGCCTGCCAGATGGTGGGAGAGGGTGGGGGTGGGCAAAAACCTCCACCTCCTCTCTTTGTCCCCAGCAAGCATGAATATTTTTCCACCCTCTCCCTAGAGCACAGTTATGTCATAACATGATGAAAGATTCATGAAGAAAGAAATACCCAGAATCAGCTGCAGTAAAAGTCATTGTTTGGGAACTTACCGTTGGTGTCTTTGTTGTTTTGGTGAAACTTTTGCGTCAACCCTCATAGGCCATCGGAGTCCGCGTATCCATGCTCACAGGGGACAATGCAGGCTCGGCTCAGGTGATTCGAGAAAAGGTGTGTATGTCTCGAGGCTAATCCTGCAAAGAAGCATACCCTAGTTAAACTCTCATGGCAAGGTGGATTTGGACATGTCCAGACTTCGGTTTGATGGGATCATAATGTCATTTCGACTCATTTGAAAGAACCAGAAATGAAAAGGAATTTTGTAACGAAATGTCATTAGAGTTATAACCTCAATCAAGCTTCACCTTAAGCCACCAGTCTCCCAACCAAATTTCTCCCACATGCCATGTGTCGCGTCCTCCACGATGGATGTACCGCCTGCCAACTAGTGCATTATTCATACAGGCAAAACGGGGCATGAACACGACGGTTTTGCCTGGATGTATTTTCTGCCACTTGGCAGGGCCAGGGAAGCTGGTACAGCCCGAAGGACGCGGCACGTGCAAGACTTTGCATTAGACATTCCACAATTCAAATGTCTTCCCGTTCTCCAGCAGGTGCTACTCCCCACCAATAGATTGGAGTCACTAGCGATGCAGCTAGGGGTGGATGCTCTCATCACCACTCCTAGCCGTAGCTGCTGGTGTTCTGTTCTAAAAAACAAACAAACAAACAAACATTCCCACGATTTGAGTGTCTTCAGACATTCAAGGAGATACAGGACAGCAGGCCGCGACGAGGGAAAAAGGTGTCCTGCTGCTGCTATATTCCAAGCGGGCAACAACCATGATAGCACCATAGATCACCATCGCGTGAATGCCCTGAGCCTCTTGAAAAAAAAAAAAAAAAAAAAAAAAACACCAGCTTCAGTCTACTAGGGGGGGTGATAAGAGCATCTTCCCCAGCGTTGTCATGCAGGGATCCCCGGGGCCCGAGCCGGGGTGGACGTTTTACCCCCAGACCCCCGCAGCACCATTTAAAAATATTTAAAGCAGTGTTGGAGAAGAAGCGAGTCCCTCGCTATTTAAAAATATCAACAATTTTGGCACTCCGCGTGCACAGCCACCGTATCCCACCAAGCGCAAGCCAGCATAGTCACAAGGCCCTGCCACTGGCGGCACTCCCGTCTCCACCACCGCTCAGTCCCTCTGACTAACTTACCCCGAGTCTGCAGCTAAGTCCACCCCCCGTCGTTACTCCGCCCGTTGCTTGGGCACGTCGAGCCTATTCCCCGTTGCAGTCTTCGCGCATAGCTCGGGCAGCATTGCAGCCGATATCAAATTGGAAGAAGGGAGAGGGCTACTTAAATTTATAGCGTGGAAGGCGGTGGGGCACCAGCGTGTCATGCGGGCAGCGACGGGTGTAGATGAGGAGGACAGAAGAAGGAAGGTTCTAGAGAGTCGAGAAAGGTGGGTCGATCGAAATTTTTGCACAATTGAGGTGGTCGTTCAAGCCGCGCGTGTAAGTTCGCTCTTACGGCTTGATCCGACCATCCCAACTGGCTACCAATCAATCGTACCGAAGGACACAGGATACAACGAGGGGCGGGGGGAAGACGAAGAAACGCCTGTAGACGAAGGAAAGCAAGAAAAGAAGTTGGCTCACGCCCGCAAAGCGGGAAGTCAGTTTGTGTAGTCGAGCAATAATTTGAACATGGTCGTGCTCGCTCAGGGTAAGCACAAAGATTAACAGTTAAAACTATGTCAACTGAATTCATGACCATTTTCTTTAAGTTCCCACGCAGTCGCTAGTCGGCCACGCGAGACTAAATCGAAAAAGGACAAACCCGAAAGATGCATGCAGCTGCCACCGAAATTTTGAAATGGGCCCCTTCCTTCCATGGCTCGTCAACATCCGTACTTCGGGGCTTATCCCGAAGGGTACGTTAAGCTGCAAGGTACAGAGCTTGGCCTTATCACAAGACTCCTTTTGGTATCCAAGGTTTCCCAAAACGTCCTCAGGCTGGGTTGCTATGAGGGCAGAAAGGTTCTCCATCCTCCTCGTTGATAAGCCAGTTCTCGAAGAATGAGACATTTTGTTTTGCGTTTGAATTGGTTCTAAGCACGGGCCCATGGTCTTCTGCGTCGGATCCAAGTCTCAATCGCAATCCTTGTGTCAGTGGTGGGACACTGTACTAGGGGCACACTCGAAACGAGTCTGTCTGTTCATTTCGTGTCATTACATCCGCATCAGCAATCAATTTGCCTCGAGAAAAAAATTAAAACGGAGCTCAAATAACACACTGCTTAGTCCACTGCAGGGAGGCGACAGACTACTGGGCCGGGCTCTAACATTCTTGGTTGTGGACTGCTTGTGCAGATTGGTGCGCATGAACTCGAGGTGTTCGCTGAGCTGCTGCCTGAAGACAAAGCCCGCTTGGTGGGTGACCTGAAGGCAAATGGGATCACTGGAATGGTAGGAGACGGGATCAACGATGCGCCTGCATTGGCAGCTGCACACGTGGGCATTGCAATGGGGGTTGCAGGGACAGCGGCAGCGATGGAGAGTGCCGATGTGGCATTGATGACAAACGATCTTCGCCAGTTGGCACGCTTGGTCCGTCTCGCAAAGAAGTGCAAGTTTATCGTTTATCAGAATATAACATTGGCTGTGACGACCAAAGTGCTGGTCTTTGCGCTAGCCCTATCTGGCTTTCGTTGGCTTTGGATGGCCGTGCTTGCCGATGTCGGGACCAGTTTGGCAGTTACGCTGAACAGCATGTTGTTGCTGAAAGGGAAAAAGACAGCCGGTCACAACCATGGGTGCAAGAAGTCTTGTGGGGGCCACGGAGGAGGGAAAGACGCAGTGGGAATGGGGCACCACCAGTGCTCAGCAGCTGGGGGCAAGGATATCAAGTGCTTTGGTACTCAGGGGCTGCTGAACAGCATGTTGTTGCTGAAAGGGAAAAAGACAGCCGGTCACAGCCATGGGTGCAAGAAGTCTTGTGGGGGCCACGGAGGAGGGAAAGACGCAGTGGGAATGGGGGACCACCAGTGCTCAGCAGCTGGGGGCAAGGATATGAAGTGCTTTGATACTCAGGAGCTGCTGAACAGCATGTTGTTGCTGAAAGGGAAAAAGACAGCCGGTCACAGCCATGGGTGCAAGAAGTCTTGTGGGGGCCACGGGGGAGAGAAAGACGGAGTGGGAATGGGGGACCACCAGTGCTCAGCAGCTGGGGGCAAGGATATCAAGTGCTTTGATACTCAGGGGCTGCTGAGTGGCCTCAACGAGAATCAACGAGCCTGCAGCGATGGCTGCTGCAGCAGAGAAGATGACTGCTGCGCTGATGGCCGTTTATCGAACAAGACAGACTCAACTGCTGATGCAGCGGTTGCAGGTGGGAGGTGCTCGTCTGCTGAAGAAAGATGCACAGCGTCCATGAAAACCAGACCAGGTGGTCCACAGGTGGTAGCTGCTGTAGGTGGTTTGGGTGTAAAGGCTGTACCCGCCTCCACTTATGGAGGAAGATGTGGTGTCCTCACCTGTCGACATTGGCATGCTGATGAGGATCACCACGATCGCGAACATGATCACGATCATGACCATGTTCACCGTCACCAGGATCGAGAACATGGTCATGATCATGACCATGTCCACCATTGCCGTGATCATAGTCATCATGACCATGGTCATGCTCATAGCCATAGCCATAGCCATAGCCATAGCCATCATCGTAACCATCAGGACAATCATCATGATGGTCATTACCACAAGTGCAGCCATGGGGATGATAATCACAAGTGCGGATCAGGAGTGTCGAGGAACCAAGCTCGGAGTGAAACGAGGAGGCAGAGGAGTGTTGAGAGGCGTAGTTGGTTTGCCAGAACTCATAGGAGCGAGAAGAGGAGTGCGGAGAGGACGCATAGCTGCAAGACACCGGCCTTCACACTCCAGGAAGAGGCTGGTACAGACCTTCAAATTGGCCAATCGATTGCTCACATCGCCGTATCCGTGCCGTGCTGCAAGGCTGGCACATGTCAGTCAAGGGCCGCGCCAACTGAGTGCAGTCAGCCTGAAGATGGCAAGGCCAAAGTGGCAGGTGTTCCTGGTTTAGAAATCGTTCCTGGTTCTCCTGGCAAGAGAGACTCTTGCCACCATGACATCGACAAGCCCATGGTTGTGGATCAGTCATCTCTGATGGAGTACGTTGTTAATGTTGTCTAGTGCTAACCTTTTTTTTGTTGTTGAAAGATGACATGTTGGCCTGCTAGAGCGCGTGGTATGAGCACCCCCTCTAACAGTACCTGCGACAGTTTGCTCCGGTCTATGGGTGGGGAGCTTCACCTGCTGGAAACCAGGTCCACCATCCCATTGACATCCCTATAAGTCCATCACCGGGGCCTTTGCTAGGACGCGTTCAGCGAAAAGAGAAGAATGGACTTGTATAAATTTGAAAACTGTAACTTCAACATTGTCTGAGCTAGTTCAGGCTATTGAACCACCAGTACCTGTGCAGCTGAGACAATGATGAACGTACGGGCCACTACGGAAGCGCTCAAATTCATCAGACTGGAAACGCTTCTACTCTTATCTTTTCTGGCAGCCGATATGGGCCAGGCCAAGTACTGGTGGTTTACGCAGCATGGTTTGGTAGTATGCAGCTTGTGAAAAGAAAGAACGTTGGGAGTTCACCTCAAACTTCACGAGCCTTTAAAAGGCTTGAAGATGTTCCTGGTTCTCCTGGCTAGAGAGACCCTTGCCACGTCGGGAAGTCGGGCATTGTGGATCAGCAGCCATCTCCGGCGGAATAATATGTCATTGATGTTGTCGAGTGCTTACTGGTATGCGTCCAGCGAAAAGAGAGGGATGGACTTGTATAAATTTGAAAACTGTAACTTTCAACTTTGTGTGAGCAATGCTAGGGTATTAAAGCGCAAGCGCCAGTACACCACACATAGGCTCCTTTTCTTCTGTGCTCATTTCCCTGATCGCTCCTTTCCCCCGTACGTCCTGGCTGAACTATCAATCTTGTTATCCCGACTGCTTGGCGCTCTCAGTCTTTCATTGTTGAAAAAAAAAAAAAAAAGTGCCTGTGTGGGAGGGGGAAGATAGTCTTACTTGGCGAGAACAGGATTGCTATAGTTGACATTGGCCGAGTTGAAACCGTCTCTGAGATTTAATGTCCTGATGAAGGGGTGGACAGGAGTTACTCAAGATTAAGGACGCCAATTTAGCTGATTTAGCTTTGTCTTCAGATCTGACCAGTTGCTTTCCTTAAGTACTTTTTTTTTTTTTTTTTTTTTTTTAGTACTTCATCAGTACGTACCAATAGTAGTATTTTCCCTTTATCTTAGCTTTTTCCTACTGTTCCCTACTACTCGTCGTGGAACCCATCTGGTTACAGTTCTTCATCTTGCGAACTATGTGGCGGAGGAGGTCGGCTTGTCGCAAGGTGAAGAAGTGTAGATGGGGTTATAAGGAAGAGCGAAGGCGGGTAGGGCTCTGGTAGGGCTTGGCGAGTTCTTCATCTTGCGAACTACGTGGTGGAGGAGGAGGTCGGCTCGTCGCAAGAGGAAGAAGACTTGTCGTGGGGTTGGTATTGGGGAGACTATGAGGTAGTTAGAGAGTGGCGGGTCTACCATCATCATCATCACCATTTGTGTCATTTTCGCGTCACGCTCCCACGAGAACCCGCATCCAGTGTTGGGAACGGCGCGGGACAGGCAGCCTTGGGCCTAACCGGGAGCGCCGCAGTTGTACACACAGTGCAGTGCCGCGATGTGGGGAGATACACCGGTTGAGTCGTTCGAGACTGAATTCTCCTCTGGAACATGGGGAGATACACAGGTTCCCTTTTGTTCGTTTGTTTTGTTTCTCTTTTTTTTTGTCGTTTTGGCAGTTTCTTTTTGTTCGTTTCTTTCCTTTTCTTTCTTTTTTCTGTCGTTTTGCGGGTTTGCTTTTGTCCCGCCCGTTGTTGGCCTGAGGGCCTCGCTGCACTACTCTCCAAATGTGCAAATGAGACTGAATCCACTGCTAGAACACGGAGAAATACATTGCCATCTTTTTTGTCTTTTGTGCACGTGGAGAGTACCAAGCGCTCCGCAGCTCTCCAGATGTTTGAAAATGAGACTGGATCCTCAGACAGAAAATGGCAAGGTGCACCGGTTTTCCTTTTTTTTTGTCGTTTTGCAGGCCCTGCATCGGGAAAGTTCGTTTAGCATGGCTCCTGCGCAAGGATCACATTTGCAAATAGAGGGGGGGGAAAACAACTTCAACAAAAGAAAAAAGTACTTTCGTTTTTGGGTCTGTCACAGACGTCGCACAGCTGCGAGTTCGCGCACAGCACCTGCGGCCCGCGTGTTGCTTTTCTGTGTCAGAAAAAGGCGGTGGGGACGAACGGGATGAGTGGGAGGGGGGCGATGGAAGGGTGAGGACCAGGGCAGTGGACAGGGGGAGGGGCAACGCGAGGAGCAAGAGAGGGACCAGCGGGAGGAGGAACGGGATGAGAAGAGGGGGGGGAAAGGGGGGGGAGCAGCAGGGAGGCACCGCAGAGGGAGCAGTGGGCGAAGAGTAGGTCTGCCGTGGGCGTGGCCGTGGTGACTATACTCAGAGAGTTGATTTCCACGGGGCCGCGCTGCATGCCGTGGGCGTAGCCTTTTTTTTTTTTTTTTTTGTTCCCCTGCTCTTAGTCCCCGCCGCAGTGGCGGCGGGCATCCTCTTGTTTTTTTTATTTTTTTAACCTATTTACTTTCCCTCTTTTTTAATTACATATATATAAGAATATATTTTTCTAGGCTACCAGCCGGGCAGCCCAGGTCCCGGGTGGCAAGCCCGTGCAAGGAGAAGGGAAGATCCCAGCAAAAAACAAAAAATCAAAAAAATCCGAAAAAAGACTATGTTATGCACAAAACTAAACTGAACAACGTTTGTCTCAGGGTCACATCGCAATTCCTTACCAAATTTAAAATATAAAATAAAAATTTAAAAGAATTTATTTATTTTTACTTATTTTTAGTTTTTAATTTTTTTTGGGCCCGGCCGGGCAAGTGACCCCGTGCCACTCTGGTAGCGTAGATATTTTTTTATTATTTCATTATTACGATTTTTATTTTTTTTTATTTTTTTTTATTACCTTTTTTTTTGTTGTTGTGTGTGTGTGTGTGTGTGCGCGTGTGTCGGGGGGAGGGGAGGGAGGACCCCTCCCCCGCCAATCAGTCAATCAATCAATCAATCAATTAATCAATCAATCAACCAATCAGTCAATCAATCAATCAATCAATCAATCAATCAATCAATCAAAATAACAATCAATCAATCATTTTTTTTTCTTTCTATTTAAAAAAAAAAAAAATTGTCACCCCCCCCCCCCCCCCCCCAAGTTTCACTTTTTTTTTTTTTTAGTCGTTTCCGGAGGGGGACACCGTGCGCAGGCGATGCGCGCACCCCGTTTTTGGGCGCGCGGCCTCAAAGTAGCTCGGCTGCGCGGCCTAAACGGACGAGGCCGCAGGATCTGCGGCTGTGGGGGTCACATAGCTGGTGGTTTTAAACCTGACCTGAGCAAAGACCATCTACATCCAGAATCCCCACTGCAGGAGCAATGTCAACCAGCCCAGTATGACTCTCCCAAGATCAAATGATAAGCCAACGACTAGACGACTGAGGTGAGTCAATCTGCTTTTCTCTACAAGGAAAGGCCATTCCATTTGTCTGGCGTCTGGAACCACACATATGACCTTAGCTCGCATGACATTTATACGAAAAGCAAGCGTCACATGATAGGAAAATTCAGGGCCAGTCACCACTCGACGCACTCGTACTATATCCATGCTTGCAAAGCATGATCATGATCAACGAGTCAGACATGGTTTCTGTTGATCATTCGTTACTACGAATCTTTAGCATGAGCATGGCCGCCGCGGCCCGCTCTGGTCCTAACTGTCTTCACATTGCCTCTCCATACAACATTGTCGGGCAGAGTCGAGGACGTCCCTAGACTTTTGCACCTTGGATTGTCTCGTAAGAATGCAAGAGATGCCGATCGTCATTTTCACCCCTATGATCTAGCTGGTCATCTAAGGAGAACGGGGTTATGATCCCAATAGGAGGCCAAATCTGGCTTGAAGTAAAGACCAATATCTCCAGGATCCCCAAAAGTGCACGGGCCCATGACAGTGCAAGGAAAGGTGCTATGGACCCGTTTTCTAGCATGTGGCGCCGCATCCGGGATTTTCACTAGGGGAACGCTCTCATCACCTCTCCTAGCGAGGAGACTGTTTTTCCCGAGAGGGGGGGTGGGGTGGTGGGGGTGGTGGCGGTCAGAATCTTCAACGCAGAAGCTACAACGAAGTTTGACTCTTTAAAGAGGAATCGCTTGAGATAGTTTGTAACTCGATGTTCTTCAATTGATGAACTACTACGATATGACTCGACTTATAAATGATACATTATCGGTGTAGATTTAAACTGAAGAGAACCATGTCAATAAGATTTCAAAAAAACTAAAATATAAAAGTGAGCAAAGAATAGAAGGAAAAAACTATTGTTTAATGGAAACTACACCACTTATTTGCTCATTGACTAAGTTAAGAGTGAATTCATAAGCCTTTTCAACAAAAAGATTGTGAAGCATTCTCTTGCACATTTTAGTAATTGAATTAAATATTTTAAATTATTCGATGTAATTGCAACATTGCAATACCGAAAAAAAAAAAAGAAAAAAAAAGTGTTGAAATGCCTCTGCGATTTATTTCGTGGTTTAACTCCATCAAACACATCGCCAATGAAGATAAGATCCAGACCATTCTTTTTCCATCTACTACAAAACAAATCGCATCTTACTTAGTAGACGGTTGCCTCTTAGTCTTTGAGTGAAGATAGGGAGACTTTACGTTCACCAAGAAAAGTCTGAGTCAATCAATTCAATATGATTTAAAAAAAATATATTTTTTTATGGAAAGATCACGAGCAAATCTATGGAACCTCTAATTGTCAGAGTCTTTGAAGCATTCTTTGGAGCGGGAAAAATCGCAGATGTTGGAGTACTTTTCTCGTTGGCCCATGCCACAATGGCAAAACTGGAACATGCACCGAATCGGCGCGGCGACTGTTTCACAGTCAAAACGCTTTTTTTTTCAAATTTTCTGTTATTTTTACTGGAAAGATAACGACCTAATTTACCGACGCTCAAATTTTCAGAATTTTTTGTCAATTCTTCTGAGCGGAAAAATCACCAAAGTTATGGCGTTGAAATTGTGGGACTAGGCCCGCCGTTTCGGCGTCCGGTCGCTGCCCTCCCTCAAAACCCGCCTGAACTCACCGGGAGGGCTATTTCCTGGTGGCGGAGGGAGTGGTGGTTTAAACCAAAGAATATCATTTTTGACCTGAGCTCTTTGCTCCCTCCAGCGGGACCAAACATCCTTTGAGTTTCCCACAAAAAAAAAAAAAAAAAAAAAAAAAAAAAACATCCTTGAGATATGCTTTAAATTGATCAATTTTCAGTGAGGAACTATTTAATTTATAAAATCTCTCACCCTGATCTGGTTTCTTCCTGAAAGAAAGAATGACTACACACATTGCATGCTCCAGTCATTGGAATGGACTGCGAGGAAAGAAAGATCTCCATCACTTGGAGAGATCCTTGCAGTTCTTCCGGGAGCAGGGTAAGATCAATGCGTGATTTCATGGTCTCAGTCATGGCTTATCCTAAAGGACCTAAAACAATTAAAAGTGCGTTGAGAAGTTACTGTTACAGTAAAAGAACGATTAAAAAAGTTGAGCAATTGACATAAGATTGTGATGAGGAGTTTATCTGATTCGACAAAAGCAGGACACGGGTAGGGGGGGTGGGAAAGTGGGG